ACGAATAGAAATTGTATTAAATAAGTAAATTTTGATAATATATATATTGATGTTTTATTTGAAATTAATAATAATTTTTTCTTTAATATAGAGAAAGTCGTCGAAAAACACCGGTTATTGTTGCTATTAAAGGCAAAGATCGTGAATTCGGTGAAGCAGCTATTTCTCGAGTAAGAATAATAAATCTTGTTTATTTATTTTCTTTCAAATACATAAATATTATCTTTATTTAGTCAAGTAAAATTCCTTCACAATCTTATATGTATTTACGTGAGTTAGTTGGAAAATCATTAAATAATCCGGTTGTTGAACAATACTTAAAACGATTTCCATATTATAAATTAAAAAGTGATGCACATACAAATGAACTTGTTTTTGACCATGATAGGTAAATCAAATTTTTATTAATTTCTTTTACATTTAAAAAGAATATAGTCTATAGAAATGTTTCAATTTTGAGGCCATGAAAACTTACTAACAGAATATTATTACACTAAGAATTGTAGTTCAATAAAATATCTATTCATGAACATGATAATACTATGCTTCGGCATCACTAGTCGTGGAATGAATCTAATCAAGTAACGAACAGCAGTTTATCTCGGAGTACTCGTCCGATAGCACGCTGACTACAGAATAATCTTTATGCTTAGTCAGTCAGTATGAAATGCTCAAGCAATTGCGCGCAAGAACTCTGAGACAGGCCGGTCTTCTATGTAGAGCTATAGCCAGTAACAGTTGTAGGCAAGATATTGTACTAACGAAATTGTCTTCAAGCAGCACCGAGCTACCGAAAAGCAGAGTATTGTTCTTTTTAGAATCTTAGGGTGACTGTATAAATCTATTGAACATTCGATGGCGTCAATTAAATTTTTTTAAATACATTTAAACTGAACATAAGAAAATTCATGCATACTTCTTGAATGTTTGTTTATTTCTAGTGAAACAAATTATACTGTTGAAGAACTTCTTGCAATGATATTAAAAAAAGCTCGTGAATATGCAACAGATTTTGCTGAACAATCAGTTGATGCTGCCGTTATAACTGTTCCACCATATTTTACACAAACTGAACGACGTGCTATTAAACGTGCATGTGAATTAGCCAATATAAAATTACTTCAATTAATGAATGATAATACAGCTGTTGCACTTAATTATGGTATATTTCGTCGTAAAGATTTTAATTCAACAGGTTCAACTTATTTATTTTATGATATGGGTTCACAATCAACAACATGTACAATAGCAACATATAATGTTGTTAAAACAAAAGAAAATGGTTATGTTGAAGAGGTACCACAATTAACAATAAAATCGGTTGCATTTGATCGTGATTTAGGTGGTTTAGAATTTCAAATACGTTTACGTGATTATTTAGCAAAGAAATTTCATGAACATCATCCAAATATAGATTTATTTCAAAATTCAAAAGCATTAACAAAATTATTTCGTGAAGCTGAACGTGCTAAAAATGTTCTAAGTGCTAATAATGAATATACAGCACAAGTTGAAGGTTTAATTGATGAAATTGATTTTAAACATCGAATAACACGTGAACAATTTGAACATTTATGTGAAGATCTTTTTCAACGAGTTAAACGACCTATTGAAGAAGTACTTAATACAACTGGAATTACATTGGTAAGAATTCGTCGTTATATGTGAGCGGCATAAAAAACATACTTTTAACAGAATGTCATGGTGCCCCTCAGGAACACCAGGATAAGAGNAGCATGTTTTGTCCTTACAATAGTAGAGAAAAGCTACCAGCTCACACGATAAGGACTGGTAGCTTTTCTCTACTATTGTAAGGACAAAACATGCTGTTGTTCGGGCCAATCTAGGGTTATGTAGGACCCTCTCTTATATGGCCCGGACAATAGTAGGTTTTATTCTTACAATAGGATCTGCATCAAAACGGGGTACCAGTCAAATTTGTAACCCCCATATGATCTTTTATATCGGAAAAACAGCTTGTTAACGGTAATATTATATCTTTCTAATCTTCGACAATATGTCTCTCTTTCATCATTATGAATTCTTGTTTTCTTTCCATTCTTTTGTTTCCATAAAGTTTATATAGAAGTGTTTATGCAAGTTTTTGTGAACATGCATTTATTCTTCTACTCATAAAATTAAGGTAGAGTGATATGTTATCGAGTCAATCGTGATTGCTAGTTTTGTTTTATAAATGTAAAAAATAAATTTAACATGTATTTCATTTATTACTCTTAGAAATAAAGATCATTTCAGATTGAATTGATTCACATAACTTTGTTGTTCTTACACAACTGATCATCAATGTTTCTTCATCGAAAAACCGAGCGAACTTAAAAGGATGTAGACTTTTCGATTATAGCAAGAAAAATTGTATGACTGTGAAATAATGTGTAGATGTTATCGATTGCGATCATATTTTCCAATATAAATTAAACAGAAATAAGTTACATGACATCTACTCAATACAGCAGCAGCAGAAACTGAAACTTAACAATTTTAATTCGTTTCGAATTTTGTTTAAGATAGACTGAGATATATTAACTGAAAGACAAAGTTGGCACTTCAGATAACTCGAAGCAAATCATTAGTTAATGAAATACTGAATTAACTGGTGATACTAGTTTTCGACAATATCTTTTTAGACCGAACGGAAATTTTTGAAGCTTTTTTTTGACTTTTTTCAATGTTGCACGTATTTCACTCGATGGTATTAAATAGATTACTTAAAATTTTCAATGAATTATTGTGCCAATTCATTTAACTTAATGTACAGCAGATGAGATCAACGGATAGACCATTGTTTACTCATCATCATATTAAATTCTAGTTTAATAAAAGAAAATATTGTGTAACTTTTAAAGAATCTTCAAATTTTTCATTAAATGACTAAAAAAATAAGAAAAAAAAACTATTCCATTCAATATAGACCACCAGCTGGGAACAAATCTTCATAACTAATTAACAAAGTTTATAAATAAACATTATGAACATCGAATATATTCGGTGTATAAAACGATGGTGATGAGGTCGAAGTTGATGATGAAAATATTGATCCAGATACATTCGAAGATGTATATGGAAATGTTGCTGTTGATCGATACATTTGTTCATAATCTAAATATTCCGAAACAAGAGAAAAAAAGAAGTCTACATTAATTAATAGATAAAAAAAACATTTCAATAGACGAACCATTATTATACCGGGCATAAAATGGTAATTGTTGATGCGAAAATAAATTAGCAGGATTATTTGTATTCGTACTACTCATACATTCATTTGATGGACGAAACATTGAATCAGTTGTTGATAATGATTTTTCAACAGTAGGTAAACAATATGGAGTAAAATGAAAGCAAGAAGATGATGTCGATGGTTCTGTAACAGTCACATTACTTGTTGCAATAGGTCCATTATGAAATACTAATGAATTAGTACTAGCTGATAACTGTTGCTGTTGTTGTCGATGTTCTTGTTGAACTGAGGCTATTTTTCGCCAACGAGCACGACGATTTGAAAACCATACCTTTACATTGAATAAATTTAATGTAAAAAAGAGAAGTAGTTGTTTTAATACCTGAACACGTGCTTCAGTTAATCCTGTATATTTGGATAATTTTTCTCTTGTTTGAACATCAGGATAATGTGTTTCTTGAAAAACTTGTTCTAATTTTTCAACTTGATCTTGACTAAAACTAGTTCGATATCGACGATTTTTTATTGCTTTGTCTGTTGGTTTTTGTTCATCACTTGATTCTTCATCATGGTTATCATCATGTAATATTCGTGTTAATGTATTTAAACTTGGTAATGATGTTGGTTTACAAATACCATCACGTACTAAACGTTCACGTATTTCCCAAACAAATGTTGAACTATTTGAATATGTATTTTTATATTCATTAATTTTTTGTTCAATATCAGCTGAAAGATGATTTTTCGATTTTGAATTATTGATAATTGAACCAGGGTCAATTGAACCTGTTTCAGCATAACGTGATAATATTTTTGATACACATCCATGTGAAACACGTAACTTTATTAAGAAAACAAAAAGAAAACAAAACAAAAATGAAATCACAAATAGATAAAGAAATTCATCAATACCTGTCGACTTATAACACAAGGTCGAATACCTTGAGCAGCCATATCAATGATTGTCATACGAAGATGATTAGGCAATGGACGTCCATTGATAAATATGCCACCCAATTGATTAATTCGACCTTGTCCTTATATAAATCTTCAAATATTTTAAAATATTATTTTTATTTTACCTTCATAAGCCAAAGAATTTGGATAGTGGATCTTTGTTGATGATGCACTAGTGACTTCATTCATTGTTTTGGTTATTTCTGTTGAACTTGACAGTATGAGGCACACACACACCAGCAAATAAGTTTTTGATCGTTTCACGTTTTCCGGCTTTTATTTACTTGTTCAAATCGACTTCTATATCACTCGATGGTAGTATAGATTTGGATCGACGAGAAATATTTATGGAAACAAAAAAAAATTTTCAATGAAGCGTCTGACTTGATAGTTAACAATCTGTACATAGATCGCCCATCGTTTTTCTTTTATATCTAAAGTGTGAGATGTGAGTTTCACGCATATTAAACATAAAGAAAAAAGACAATTTACTTGACGAAATGATAGAGCAGTAGAAACATATTCATTTTCAATTTTCTCGCATGTCGCCGACATAGACTGATAAGAGATGCAATCTTCATATTCGTTTTTTATGTCTATGTGTTTCGCTTATTTGATAGGTGTTATAATTTGGTCTCACCATTCGACCGTCAACATCATTATCGATTTTATGTAAAAAGGAGAAAAATTGATTGACCAATCAATTTTGAAAACAAAACTATCGCGTTTTTTTTAACCAATTAAATTCAACATACTTAAGTAAAGAAAAATCCTTGTGAATAAGTTCGTTATGGACGAAAATACGAATAAAATGACATTAAAGTGTTCTTTTTTTCTCAAGGAGAGAGAGACGCTCAGAGAACAAAAGCAACATCAATAGAAATATTTTTGACAATGATTGTCAAGACTGCATCAAGTTACAATACAAATCAAACAATACAAGATTCTACTATATTGTTGTATCAGGTTATTTTTATAGAGGTAGATATACATTTAAGATTTCTTGCTGTAATGTTTCGATTCGTTTAGTATCTAATATCCGTTTGAGCTCATATTGAATACACAAGCGCTTCAGGTTCAAATACTGTCAGTCAAAAAATTCAACTTCAGAGAAATTCTCCTCATTGAACATGAAGGGATTAACTATTTTTAGTTTCGGTTTTTAGGAGCGCAGTACACATTTTTGAAGGAAATTCTGTTTGGTTTTTTTTTCTTAGTCGGCTATTGTTCATTCAATGTCTTATGTACGAATGACTTACCCAAGAGAAAAGCAAAACCATCTTCTGACTCAAAGGATATCCACGCAGTGCTATATACATACAGTATAGGGATTCTCAAAACTCTAAACGAAAAATCTCATCAATAGGAAATTGTCAATGTCAAAAATTGATACACATCTCCTGTAACTGAAATAATTTATTTCATAAATAATATTCAATGTTGGTAATCTTTTCATTCGTCTTTAGAAACTATGCATATTAGTTTTGTATGTCAAATTGAGTCTTTCCTTTGTTTCTAAATTTAAAATCAACAGTTAGTTAAAAAAGAAGACAAAATGCTGCTCTTCGTGATAAATTCAGTGTAAAACACAGCATTTATGTAGACTGTTACAATTTTTTAAGGCACGAAACAATTATATAGTGGTTCAGCGTGAGTTTTTGTTATTTGTTCATTTATTAGAGGTACGCATCAGAATTCGTTATTTTGTGATGCGACGATCGAAACAAATGAGAAATCAAAGAATATTGGTTCTTCAAACGCGCGATGAAAATATTGAGCCTGACGTTACGTTTGTTAATACAGAGGTCGAAAAAAAGCAAATTTTTGTGAACATTTGATTTTTTTCCCGACCTCTGTATAATTAAAACGAAAACAGCATGAAAAAAATAATCGCCAAATTTTCTTTTCTACCTTTCATGTTAATTACAATAACAGCCGGCACATATTAAGACGTAAAAACCGATGATTATAAACCATGACTGTCTCCTAATAGTAATATAATCGATGTCTTTTCTTGAAAAATTATTTTGTTTTCAATCTTTTAGCTGGGACGAACTTTTCTTCCTAAGCCATTAAAATGAAAGAGAAAAACCTAACTGGAGAGAGCAAAGATCGATAAAGATAAAATTTTTTTTTTAAATTCAATCCTATAAAATCCTATTCAAGATATATAATTTTTCGAAAATAAAGAATCGAAAGTTGAGAGTAGTTGAAACCTTAATTTGAACTTTTGATTTTATCCAAGTTCTTTGTGGAAATTTTGTATGAGGATAATTTTACTTCTGCATCTGCACGTTAGCTGTCATCAAGGTTATAGAGATAAAGTACATTTCATGTCGTTCACAACCTTTCTCTGAGGAAAAGATTGATCCTGATTTCAAAGAAATTCGATCCTTCTAGTACGAATATCCACATGTTAAGCAGTAAATATTGATGCTATCTTTCGTTGTTCTTCAAAATATTGTTTTTTTTTTTCAGAAATTCTAAATAATTGATTCAACTATTGCCCTGCTTTTGTGGCTACATCTGATAAATCCGAGGAGTCGAAAATGTGTTACTCATAGTCACGAAATAACACTGATGGAGCCTGTGATATTTACAACATGAACTAAAATAAGTATATAAAGACTATTGTAGCAGAAAAATTATGGCATGCTGAATATGAAATGGAAAACGATTGTCCGAAATAGAATATGCGATTGTTATTTTTGGACTCATTTCAGAACACACTGATGATAAGTAATCCTGAATATTAGTTTCACGCAAGTTCATCTTAGTTAATAAACTGAGGCTATTCATTCGATATCACGCAGAACTGTGAAAAATTATTATAGAATTTATTGGATAGTAAAGATGATAATTTAAGGAGAGAATTTCATCAAATGATTAATTGTTTTTGAGTTGTGATTATTCACATCGTGTAGATTCCTCATAGGTTTTGAATAATCCGAACAGAGTTTTAATCTATTGATTATTATTGCTGATATATTGCATTTTTACAGTATTTTTCAATACAATGTCGTTGAATAGTTTATTTTGAGAGCTTCAGATAGTTTCATTGTTCTTATCCCAAAATACAGTCATGGTAAAAGTACATGTATTACATCGCTCGGATGCATCTGTAGATTCAATATTCTTATTTCAAAACAGAAATAGACTACATGATCTAATACTTTCACGATTAACTATTTTTGCTACAACTTGTTTCTATACAAAAATTCAAGTCGAAATTAAAAAATCACCTTTCCTGCTGATTCTGAGGGAGACCACGACATTGTTTGGAAAGAAAGCGTAAAAATGTAATAGATATCGATAGCAATATGGTATAGATTCGAACTCTTTGCGGTTTATTCATAATACATTAGGATCTATATGATGTACATGCATCCAACTCAAATGAAATTGATTAGTTGTGAGGATTCTTTCGTAAGCAAAATCAGATAAAAAAATTTACGAAATCTTTAATTAAAAAAAAATGTCATATGATATTTTTCTTTTTAGTTCTTGAATAATTTATTGTAAAATGATCATCAAATAATGTTTCATTCATAGCACGCCTATCTCAAGTAGATCTGTTTAATAATTCTAACAGGTATAAAAGTACTTCTATTATTATCATTGTTTATAGCTTGTTTTAATGTATTTCGCATACAAACAGTTCTTATATAAGTTATACTTGTATTTATTACTTTTGTCATTTAATTATTGGCATTATAATATAAATAAAGTGAGGTTGGAAATGAATTGAGAATGGTTATATGTATTCTAAGTATCTCCATTAATTTATGCAATTCTTTTACTTTTTTTTTTAATATTGATCATACAATATACGATCGTTGGTGTTTTATTGATGGAAATAATCCAAATATCAATGTGCTATACATCATTATATGATAATGATATTTTAATAATAAATAAAAATTCTGATCAAATGGAAATATGTAATAGGCAACTTGAAGAATTTACTATTGCAGATATAATTTTATTTACTTTATTAGATTATCAAGCAACAGATACAAAACAACATGAAATATTCAATAGAATCAAAGAAAGAAAAAAAAACAATATTTATTGATGTTTAAGTGTTCATTTCACACCTTTTTGTTATGTCAATATTATTTATTGTATATTCATTACAAAGAATGTTATTATTACCAGTATACGAGGTACCTATTATTTTTTCTTGAATTAGGTTATGAATAAATACGACAGAACATGGTAACAGATATTCAATCCAAAATCAAATCGATTGAATCTATTATTTCTTTTTTAAATCAACAGATGTAGTGTTCACTTTTTTGTTCTTAATTTCAAATGTTACTTGTATTATTGAACACGGTGAAAATAGTGAAGAAAACATTGAGTAGAAAATATCATGATTGTGATGTTGTATCATAGAGGGATAAGCAAAGGTGAATTCCTGTTTCGCCGAAAAATTAAATTATAACGAAAAACCAGGAGAATCAAAGTAACTGATTTAATTGCTTTATGTTAAACAATATTTTTTCTAAAGAAACTGATTAAGGACGAGGGAGTGGGCAAGGGTGAATGAGTGGGTGTGAACATTCAGTTCACTGAAATCCACATCTACTTCCACATTCACACACCCTTACCTATAAACATAAACGTTAGAAGAATATCTTGAAAAAGCTGTGGGATTAATTGATATAAAAAAAAATATTGTTATTTGTTTTTTATACATTTTCTCTTCTGATATCTTCTTTTTGAGTATATAATACTGTTCTCTAATAAACTTTTCTGAAAAAAATCATATTGTCTTCGATTAGTGTATTCAAAAAAATGTAACTAAACAGAATAACATACTGTTACATAATAAGTGATTGAGGATCATTCCTCATTCCTTATTATGTATAACTGCTCGATATTGACTTTTCTTCTTCATTCTTTCATTTTCCTTCGTTCTTCCTTTCTATCGTTCGTCAATCCGTTGACTCATTTTTTTCTTTTCTTCTTCTTAAGTTAAGGACATTATTTTGTTCGGATTCCTTCTTCAACAAAGAAGCTCATTCTGTTTGTTTTCGTTTTTTTTTTCATCAACACGACACTTCCTCTCTTTTTAATAAACGGATCAAGTCATTCTTTTTTCGCCTGTTCCGAGAAGAAAAATTTCTTTTATTTAACTCCTACTCTCTTTCTTTCCAATGCACTTTTATTTTTTCATGACACGG